CCACCATTCGATTCGTCTCAGTGAGATGATTCTAACAAGATATGATACATCTTTGTACGATTATTAGATGCCAAGTTATTTAATATATTCTTTATATAACTGTGATTATAAACGGTTCTTTTTAATATAAGATTTTTTATGATAGGTGTGATAGTGACTATAGATAGATTGTGACTATATAGGATAGATTTTAATAATAAAATATTTTGAACATTCAACTGGTGTGACTATATAGTAGAATGTGACTATAACGGGAGTGACTATAGAGGGAGTTGACTGTATATCAGAATTCTTAATACTAAATAAAAAATCTTTAGATAATAAAAAAAATTTTTTTTTTTTTTATATATACTAAAGTTCCAAAATTTGCAAATTAGGAAAAAACTTTAAAATTGTTTTTTCCTATACTGGAACATAAAAATTGAAGAAAAATCTAATGTTGAAATTTTTTTCCTTGTATTAAAATTAACAAATTAAAAAAAAAATTTTGATAACTAATTTTAACTTCAAAATATTCATCTAAAAGAAGATAATTTGAAATTAAAACCATTATACTTAATATAGTATATGTCATTAAAATTGCAGACATATCTTAAGGTAGTTACCTTATATATCAATATATCAATATAGTAAGGAAATACTACTTTTCAAATATTTTGCTATGGTAGTAATTTTAATTTTAATTCTGGTCAAATTGTACTTTTAGCTAAAATTAAATGTGACAATCATTGTAGTAATTGATTATTATAAGTAGATTTAATATGAAAAAAAATTTTTTCTTGTATTACAGCATATATTGTATCTTGATATGATGTATATCATAAGGTAACTACTTTTAGCAAAAGATATGTCTGCAACCCTATATGTCATATTTTAATCAGCCAATATTATTATAGTTAAAAAATAGTTAAACTTAAATACCAATTAATCAAATACAGAACAATTAGTAAATTTAAACTAAATGATAATTATTAATTAGATATTAATTTTATTGATACTTAATTGAAAATTAAAATACAAGCAATTTCTAATTATTGAATAAATCAGATAAAAAAAAGTTACCAATTAGGTAGGTATCTGATTGGTTAGCATTTTACTTAGAACATTTTCTTCCAATATTTAACATGTTATTTAATTTGAAAAAGGATGATTTTTAGGAATTATGTAAAATTCCTAAAAACTTTAGGAAAAATACATAATAAATTACTAGTTTTTATAAATAATTTTATTAATTAATTTTACTTTACATTTTTAAAAATCCTTTATTCTAATTTTTAAATTTATTGCTAATATACCAGATTACTAATTCATTTAATTAATTAGATAAATTATAATAATATTTTTAAGTTTACAGTTAATATAATACAGTAGATATAAAAATATTTATAAATAATATTGCAAATTTTTATTCTTCTTCGTCAATTAATAAATTAGGCTCTCTAACTTCCTTTGAATACATTTTTTTATTTGTAGCCATTTCTAACAATTCTAATTCTGCTGGATTTTTATCTAATGCAGAACATTTAGGCCCTTTTGGTATTTCATCAGGATCTTTATCTGTCAATTTGACAAGCCAAACTAAAAGAAAAAATTAAATTAATAAATTGCAAAAAATATTATTGCCAATTTACCACATACCTTCAATTTCATCCACCTTAAATTCTTGTTTCTTTGATAATTGTGGACTACTATAAGTTGATGACAATGGTGTTGCCATTGAATTACCATTAATAATATCTGAATTAATCCATAAACCACAGAAATCAAATTGTCCTCCCATTCCCAAACCTAATTCGAATAGTATTTATTATTAATTAGTATTATTTCGCAATCAAATAAAAGCAATAATTTTCAGAATTGAACTTAATACCATTAGGCAAAGTTTTTGTTCCATAATTTAAATATTGGTAATGATCATTATAGCCAGTAGAAGGAAATATTCTTAATTTAGGTCTAATAGAAAATAAGAAATTCTTTTCATTTCCATACCAATTTGGCTTAAGTTCCCAATCTTCGTAAGCAAATCCACCAAATATATTACCATCCTTATCCTTTACTACAATTAAAGTTGAACCCTGATATAATATATAATTAATAAATGTGCTCCAACTATCACCATCTCTTGTTGAGGAAAATAATAACTTATGTGTAGTAATACGACAATCAGGTGGCAGATGACTATTTAAGATATAATAATCCGAAGGGGCTAAAAGTCGTGAAAAATTTGGTAAAGCTTTATATGTAGAAAGGATTTCTGGAGCAATTGAATTTGCGGATCTTAAAGTTCTTATTGCATTTGTAAAATTTTGAGGTAAATTTCTACGCAAGAATATACGAGTGACCAAAATGTTAAATAAATGTTGAAAATGTGTATTTTTAATATACCAATCCATAAAAGATCCTTGATTAAAATGCCCTTCAATTTCTGCTTCTTTAATTAAATTAAAAAGTGAATCCTCTTCAGGTTCATCATGTTTTAATTTTGGAAATAAAATTAAATAATCAACTAAGCCAGTATTATCCGAATTTAGAAAAATATCTTTTTCACCTCCTTTACCTCTATTTTTTGTTTGACCAGTTTGAGGAATATAGGCACCCTCAAACCAATAAACTAATGAGGCTCTTACGAGTTCTTGAATAAAGGCTTTTAATGATCCTTGAAATAAACGACTTACGATAAAAACTGCTTGAGATTGATCTGAAGGTGTTGTTTTAGTTAGATTATGAATTGAGGAAACGAACCCAAGTTGTGTTATAAGTAAAGAAGGTGAAGATTGTAAGGTTAACTTTTCTATTTTTTCCGCTGAAAGATTATTTTCAATTGAAGCTGATTGTATTTGAAAATACTGCGTAAATCCATCTTTTAAATATTCTCCTAATACGGTAGGAAGTTGTTTCTATTCAACAAAGAAGGATTATATTGAGCAATATTCAAGAAGGCAAAATACAATGGTAATAAATGAGCTGCCAGTTTACTTTAATACTTAGATCTGTTACTCCGATTCCATGTTGTTTTCCATGTTTTCGTTCGTCATGCAAGTCATTGTCAGAAGTGAATTCTTCAAATTCTTTCAAGAGAGTAGCTCTTTCTTCTTCCGAAAATTGTGAAAGAATGTCATGAAACAATGTTTTAGATGCTTTGCTTGTATGATTCCCCATGGTTTAAGAAACTAAATAGATCTGGAAGTGAAATTAAAAAATTATATCAATCACCGGACGCCAATTTACTAAATTGCTATAATTTAGTGTAACGTTCGTTAATCCATCAGTTATATATAATTTATTAAGTAAATTTGAAATGCTATAATTAGATTTTGTAATTTGAGTAGTATATATAATTTTTTTACAATATATAATATATTTTTATGTATAAAATCTTTTTATTTTTGTTTTAAAATATTTAAATTAGAAACAATAGTAAAATGCAAAACTTATATAAAAACAAATAAAAAAAAGTAATAATATTAAATAATTTTAAAGTAAAATATTTTAATATTAATTTATAATTTATAAGCTAATTGCAAAAAATGGATAAAAGTAAAAAATTGTGAAAAATTATTGTTAAAAAACAAATTATTTGTAACTTTAAAATAAATATTATATTAAAATATATTAGTGTTAAATGGGTTTATATATATTATTTAAAAAATTGAAATTGAATATTAAAAAAATTTACTAATAATCAATATAAATTTACATCAAAAATTTTTTACAATTAACTTACAGATTATAAATTAATATATATTTGATTTATTATTAAACTTCTATTAATATTGTTACTTTAATTTTTAATTAACTTAATCTATATATTTTATTTTATTTTTTATTTACACAAATTTGTTAAAATAAAAAAGATAAAAAGTATACAAAAAGATCAATTTATATGCTACTCTAATATTATTAACTTATTATTTTATTACTAAACTTCACATATATATTATTAAATAGTTATATTAATTCAGTAGATATGTTACATGTATAATAGACAATTTTAGTAAAAATATCCTACTTTCTTAGTTTAGTTAAGTAGACTATAAAATCCACTCTGTATACATTATTAAAATATAATAATTTTATTTAAATTTAAAATTTTAATAGGTCAGATCAGATTAAGTTAATTAATAAACTTAATCTGAAATTTTTTTTCAAATTAGATTAGGTCAGATTATATCAGATTATTTATTTAATCTGATTTGAAATTTAAAAAAATTTTAGATTGATCCAAACTTATTTGTTTTAAATTAATCTAAAAACTGATATTTTATATATTTTTATATTAAAAAATAATATTCACTACTATTTTTTAACTTTATTTTTTTGTAAATTTTAAACTGGAATTTGAAACTGAAATGTAATATTTAATAGAAATAAACTTTCAAATATAAATACTACTAAATAGATTTTTTTTTATAATAAAAAGCCATATAAATTTATATTTATTAATAATATATTTTCATCATAATATTTATTAAAATATTTATTAAATATTTATAAATAACACTTATTGAATAAAAGATATATATATTGAAAAAGTACCTATAAATGTTAAATTAAAGTATTAAAAAAATGCTTAAATTAAATACTTAATAAATAATAAAATAATGCAGTATTTAAGTATTTATTATTTTACTACTTAATAAATGCAAATTTTTAATACTTATTAAATACTGCCATTTGGTAAATACAAGACTCCATTTGTTTAAACTTTATGATGTTGTTAAAATATAATATATCTATTATAATACAACAAATTACATTCAGTTATATTTGTAAAAATAATTATGATTATATCAATTCAGATTTGGCATTTATATTATAATTAATATTTCAAATATTTTAAGTTTTAATTTATGATCTCTATCATGAAGTTTAACCAAATGGGAGTCTTATATTTATCAAATGGCAGTATTTGATAAGTACAGTCAAACCTTAATATAGCGAACCTTTGATATAGTGAATTTTTCAGACAACTATGACTATAATAAATTTCCCCTTGCTATAACGAATTAACCAATCAAATCTCTTAAAATCTTCATTATAACCCTATAGTGAAGTTGAGAACTGGAATCTAGGGTTCGTTATAACAAGAGTTGACTGTATTAAAAATTTGCATTTATTAAGTAATAAAAAAATAAAATACTTAAATACTGCAATATTTTATTATTTATTAATTATTTAATTTTTTAAGCATTTTTTTATTACTTTAATTTAACATTTATAGATACTTTTTCAATGCATCTTGTATTCAATAAGTGCTATTTATGAATATTTAGTAAATGCTTTGATAAACATTATAATGTCAAATTTTCATTAAACATAATACTAAAATTGCAATATTTTTCTTTAATTAGTTTCAGGTTAATAGGTTATTCAGATTATATTGATATTGCAACCTGAATTGATACCAAATTGCAATTGCTAAACCTGAATTTAGATCAATCTGTCAGTTTATTTAAATTTAATTAATCTGTTCAGAACTCTATTTAAATTCATATATTTTGTAAATAAATTTGTTATTTTTTGTTTTATTTTTTATAGTTTTCTATATCTTTTTTTTTTAGTTATAGTTTTTATCTTTTTTTTTATATTCCATACATTTGTTCTTATTTTATATAAATCTATAAATCTGAATAAACTATAATTTAATGTGTTACTGCTACTTTACAGTTTGTTTATAATAAAAATTGGTATTTGAAAATACATTAAAAATTAAAATATTATTAATTCTAAAAAAATTTGGCCAGTTACTTTTGGAAATTATATATATATCTAATTTCTAAAATTATATAAATTAAATTTGCTAGTTTTCATTAATTGTAATAAATAATTAAATTTTAAAATACTAATATACTAACCATTTTAAACAATATATATGTATTACTATCTAAAGGTATATAATGTTAAAAATAAAATTTAAAATCGAAAATTTGTTAATTTGATATTACTTTTTTGTTTTTATAATTTTTTTTAGTAAAGTTTTAGATGCATGAATGTAGAAATAACTTCAGTAAACGTACAGTATCCCCGGTCAAAAATCGAGTAATGAGTAGTACCCTGGTACTATGACGTAAGTAGTAGTACTGTACTACTTACTGTACAGAATAATAACTCTGGTCAAAATTACTTTTCAAAAAGATACTTATTAAAGAAGATAGTCATTTTAAAGAAGATACTATTGCAAGCGTAGTAGAATATATAAAAACATATGAAATTGTAGTAATAAGACAATATTGGGTTCAAAAATATTAATGAAAATATGGTTTTTGTGATATAAATAAATTCTTACCTTAATAGTTAGTTAATAACGATATACTAATTGAAATCATTACGTTTTTTTCGTTAATTTGTGCAACTCGTAATATTTCAGATTTTATTTATTTAATCAAAATGGTGATTTAATTTTTTCTTTTTGATGATTTAGTTAAAAATGATTTATAACGATTATTCTTTAAATATTATAACAAAATAGTTTCAATGATTTCGAAGCAAAAAAAAGACTTCCTTTTTAGGTTGTCGATCCCCCATCAATTTTACCGCTTTAAATATAATTCATTCAAATTCAACCTTCCAAAAAAGGTTTACTATAAGGATATTATAACACAGAAATTTTCTCGCTAGGCCCACAGTTTCATTGTATCTAATATAATCATTAATAGCACAGAATTCGTGTGAAACATTGTCCTTTTGCTAAAAAAACGTAATTATTTGTATAAAGCAAGTAACCATTGAAAATTTACGAGGGTAAAAACGACGTAAATATTATTTAAGCAGAGTAAATAAATATTGCTTATATGTAACAGCAACTTACGTTTTTAATTCAAATAAAAGCTATTAACTCTGCGCAACTAAATTTATTAAAAAGAAAATGAAGGATTAAGCTGACTTAGCGAAGTAAAGTCAGTTCAATGATAACATGATTCTTAGAAATTGACATCGTTCCAGCGGTCTTAAATGTTGTCCTAAAAGAACCATTGCTTCTCACAACCTGAGCGATATAGCATCGTTTCATATCATGAAGTACCGCTTGGGATGAGCAATTAATTCGTTATTAACTTTATTAACTGCATTTCTTTGATTTCCTTTCCCGTATCGTCAAGGAAATTAAAAGCTATTAAATCACTTCTGACTCGTGAAATAACGTATTAATTATTCAGCTGTAATATTTTGTTAAGCGGTACTGTTTTTTACACCAGCCTTTGCTGTCAACGGAGTCATAATCAAAAAGATTCATTCGAAAGTTTCATACATATCACACTTAAAATATTAACAATGATATTCCGAACATTGTTTCATACATCACAAATATTAATGTTTTTCCGAACATAAAGACATTACAAATTTTTCTCTTCACTTACCAGATACGCAAGGTTTCTCCATGTTTACAGAAATATCAATTTTCGATCAGCGGAAAACTTGTTCGGGAAGATTATTAGAAATCATGGGAGGAAACGAAACTATCTAAGATGTCAGTTTGGTCAACAGAGTAGTTTCCTTGACAAAACCAAAAGATTCTTTGTCTTGTGTCAGCTGGTATCAGATAAAATTCCTCTTAAGAATGAAGAATTTGTTGTAACAGAAAACACATCACAGTGGTTTAAATTTGAAAATTAATTACCTCAGTAGTATACAAAGCCATTGTTGTCACCTACTTCTTTTCAGGAAGTATAGATCACTTAAACTTGATCGTTACGAAATTTGATAATATACTTTTGGCCCGTAAATTGGTTTAATCTTTAATTATCAACCCGAAATTCAAGTAGTATTTACACTAAAGTGACTTATTAACTTCTGCAGACAAAAGAGCAAAACTATAGCTAAAAGAATTTGTATAATAATATGGGTCCTCGTAAATTATCCACCTACGAAACAAATACTTTTTCGGCTTCTTGAAAATACCACTGTCCACCTATCGATACACAAGAAGTATTCCTTGACTAAATCTAGGTCTACAGAACGGAAACAAAGGTATTTCTTTCTATTTAGATTTGAGAAATCAAAGTATTATCTTTTTGGCGGCTCCAAGCACTGCTTTGTAGATAAGATAAAAATTTTACTACTATATTGTCTCCTTACTTTTAAAAAGGAAACGTAATCGAGGAAGTTTAATAAATTTAGAAATGCTTTCTGTTAATATGCACCACTTTGGGATAGAAGTAGCTAATTCTGAATTTGGACCATTATATAATTCCGTTACCTACTAAAGGTGATACTAACAATATTATGTCCGCATCACTGATTTTCCCTCCCTAGTCGTGGGAGATCTTATATACCAGCATGATAGCATATGATTATATTATTGTGCCAATGAATTTTCTTCTGTTTATTATTTATGATGTCATGATCCTTTGGCCTTCATCACTTTTTTTTTTGACGTGAAACAAACAACTTCGTTTTATCGTATATCTGCTATGGAGACAACGAAGTTACGTGAATGGCTCGAGAATGGTGGAGCTGAAGGCCTTAGCTGGCTACAGCTTGAAGACTTTCCTGACACTGGCCGTGGTGTTAAAACGCTTCGACCTCTCAAATCCGGCGATATAGTCCTCACAATACCAGGATCTTTTCTCTGGACGGTAGATGCTGCATTTGATGACCCTATCCTTGGACCTATCATAAGTTCTGTAAAACCACCATTATCAGTAGAGGATACATTAGCAGTGTTTCTTCTTTTTATTAAATCACGCATAGAAAGATATGAGGGAAGGCAAGCACACGTAAAATTATTACCAACAAGTTATACAACAAGTGTGTGCTTTACCGACGAGGAGCTTGAAATTTGCTCTGGCTCGTCACTTTATCACATTACCAAACAATTGAAACAGCAAATTAGAGACGATTACCTTCAGCTCCTCAATAACTTGTTTTCTAAGCATCCGGATCTTTTTCCTTTGGAAAAGTTTACACAGAATGATGTGAGTTTATATGATCCATATTATATATAATAGAATATACCTAACTTTTATGTCTTCTAGTATATGTGGGCTCTTTGCGCTATCTGGAGTCGTGGTATGGATTTCCAATTACCTGGCAAGCAATTTCGATGTATTGCACCTTTCGCCGACATGCTGAATCATTCTCCTGATGTTCAACTTTGCCATACATACAATCCCCAATCGGATAGTTTACAGATACTGGCAGGAAAAGACTACACAATAGGAGAACAGGTTACGTACTTCTTTACTTTTTTGATTTACTTATAGCTTATAAAATCAATTATATTTTAATCTTTAACTTTCGCATTTAAAAAAGGTCTTCATTAACTATGGATCTGTCCCCAACAACCGACTCCTTCGCCTCTATGGTTTCGTCCTCCCTAACAATCCTTATGACACTTACGATCTTGTTCTTACTACTCATCCTTTGGCACCTTTGTATGCTCAAAAAGTCACCCTACTTGAGTCGGCTGGTTTACAAGTCAATGCCACCTTTCCTCTCACACTCTCTGATCCCCTTCCATTAGACGTACTTCGCTATTTGCGGATTCAGCGCTTATCTTCTTCAGAAATTTCCACGGTAGAAGCAAAGCGCGGAGCTAGAAATATAGTTAGTGCCCGTAATGAAGCCGAAATTTTAAAGGCTCTGATCGAAGCATGTGAGAGTCTCTTAGATGGTTTTAGCGTTCCTCTTGAAAAACTTGAAGCAAATATCGCCTCTAGTGTATACCAGAAAAGTGACAATAAATGGGCAGCAGCACATGTCAGTATTGGGGAACAGAAAATTATAAAGATGACATTGCAGAAAACAAGAGAACTTCTTGCGTTGGTTATTTGTGCTCAATGTGGAAAAGCGAATGAGAATAATAAACGTTGCGGGAGATGTCGAAGAGTGGTGTATTGTGGGACTGATTGCCAAAAAAGCAACTATAAGGAGCACAAAGTTATATGCAGGACGTATACCGCGGATTAACAACAGGAATTTTATAGTGAAATTTTATTAGAATTATTCAAGCGTAATTATAATTAGAAAATTAGCTAGCGTTTCTCGATTTTTATTTATTTTGAAATGTTATTGAATAATAAATTGGACTTCAAAAATTATTAAATTTGAAGGTTTTATCCATTTGAATATTAGATTCTGGTTTACGTTTCATCAAAAAAGTACTACTTGATCAGCATATTGATAAACCTTCTCTAGCCCAATCACCGTGATTATTATATTGCTATTCTAAAAAAAATTATTTAGTTTCATAATTAAATATTAGACCGGGGTAGATAAATAATGAGATATTAAATATTGTATAGGGACGAAATGCAAAATATGCAAACGATTTTTTACATGTCGATTAGCAATTTATAATGAATATTTATTATTTCCACAGAATATTTTCGTCAAATTGTTGCAGGTCTGTATATTGGATGCCCTGAAACGCTGACCAGCTCTGTGGCCTTATTGATTGTGTGCCCAAAACAGGGAGCGAGCTAATTCCAGCAGCATAAGGACGAACTCGATCCATGTTTACCGTGACCTGTGTCTCAACAAATGGATTTTTAACAGTTTCCTTGGCATCTGGCTCACGTGGAAATTCGCTTGATGATCGACCAGGCCACCAGTGATAAGCAATAACAGCAGGACTGAACTTGACCAGATACTGGTCATCCTGAACATCAATGATGCGAGCTGGAAGGTAAAGCTGTGACTCTTCCAGGTCATAATAATGAAAAAGATAGTCTGGGTATGTAACGGGAACTTCAACAAGATCACCAACATGAAGGCAGCGATAAGGCCTAATATCCGAAGTCGTCACTCCACGCGTCCACGGACACCAAATTTTACTTTCGCCTTTTTCTAGTGTTGTTAGTTGGTCATCTGAGAAACCCATTTGAAAATCGTCGCTTTCAGCATCGTCTGTTGGGTCAGGAGTAGATGACCAATCAACGTATTCTACATGTTCACCATTTACTGCGGAAACTCTGACATCATACCATAATCCGTCCGTCCTGATCTGCCAAAAGTAGGGAATCGATTAATCATTATTACTTTGAAATTTGTCCACGTGATTTAAATCATGTGTTCTTTATAATTTAAGGGATCGATGAACTATCTCTAATTGCAAATTAAGTTCGCGGATGATCGTGTATTGATAAGATGAACAGCCAATGATACGCATCATTTTATTACATATTCTATTGGCATAGCCCATAAGGAACACCGTAGTTTGAATTTGGGCGTTGAATAATGCATTACGCATTAATTATTTGATTTTTGATCGATTCGTAAATTTCTTCAAGACACAAGTCAATTCTTTCTCATTGAGAACGTGCGAAGAAAATAATTAGAAACTGTATTAATCTTCTAATTGTATCAATCAAAGTTTCTAACATAAGTACTTTCTTGTCTTTTTCTTAGAGGTTGCGTCTCTGAAGACCAATTTTCCAAGATTATATAGTTCGATTCTCATTTTTTTAATCAATTCCATTCCTTATTGAAAATTTGTACCACGATAATAAATTGAATAAATCACTCACCTGAATTTTTTCACCAATTTTAGGTTCTTGTGTAAAGACTGTAGATGATCCCAAAAGGGAATAATCAAATTCCAAAAGATCGGTTAAATCGTCGGATTGATACTCAATCCGTACCGCACGATCGTCAAAGCCGATTGGCGGTTTTGTTATAAACTCGATAACATTACTTTCTGATCCAGCGGTTACAATATAACGACCACCAGCACATGCTTTGAGTTCCACAATTGAAAGATTATCACTCCAAGCATTTGAACCGTTTTCCAAAGTGTAGCAGACAGCGATTGTAATTCCAATACGGAGCCCACCAAACATCCGCACGTTCTTGGAAAGAAGTTTTTTTTCAATTTGGCCGGTTTGTAAGTAGCGGACATACACCCAAACATCATTTTTAGGGTGAGTAAAGTTTTCAATAAGGCTATAAAGTTGTGGTTGAGTTTCATATATGAATACGCCAAGTTCGGTCGGTGAAGGTACTGACACGATTTGGCAAGCAGACATCCAACCAACTTGGTGGGCAGGGCTCTCCATTTCGGATGGAAGTGAAATATCGTCACTTGTTCGCTGACATTCTACAAAAATGCCATATCCACAGCTATCAAAAACGATTTGCCTTAGTTTGTTAGATAACGACTCTCCACCAAGGAAAGATAAGTAATCATGTGGTTTAATGTAACCTTTATGAAGTGGATCCAATGCTTGGCGCAAGGCTGGAAGCCAAAGTGACCGTATATCTTTTAGTTTGCGCGTTCCGGTTGGATCGATGTAATATCTGTTACCATATTTGCGGATTTCATCGATTGATCCAAAATATGGCTCCTTGGTTGCAGTTGGAATATTTTTTAATTGAAAGGTTATTTCGAGTTCGTGGACAAACCGAGCCCAGGAGACATACATATTCTACATTCAAATTTCACATTTACATTTAAAAATTTTTCTCAAATTAATCAAGTCCTTATCGTTCTTAAATGCAAAATAGCTTACTTCGTATGGGGCAACAGTTGATATGCAGAGTTCTGCAGATCTGAAATGGTCTTTCCAAAATGAAATTGCCTCAGGATTGTCGCTTCCAAACCCTTCAAAAAAAGAAGCTTCGATAGAAAGTGTGCAACGATCGAGCTTTTCTTGAAGTTGCTGGCAGTCATTTTTGAGCCTTGTAACTAGTTCATCAATCGTATTGGTAAGGGCCTCTCTCAATTCGGATTTTAAAATGTCACTAGAAGTTGTTGTGGATGTTGAAGATGTTGAAATGATTTTTGGCGTATGCGAAGCCTGAGCGTGTTGTATTATACTCAAAGACTTATCGGTGATATTAAGATGGTATTCAACGTCTTGGATAGTACGCTGAATTTCGCTTAAGATACTGGGAGCTTTATATATTCCAACAGCCTGTTTAAATTTTTTGACAACAAACTTGTTACGATGTTTCTCTTTTGTGTTGAGATCCTCAACGCATTTCATATAAACATTATGAGTTCGTTCAAGGGTGTCTTTGATACTAATAACATGGGATTTATCAATATTTGCTTCAGTAATTTTGAAGACAACGTTTTTGAGCTGTTCCAAAATGATTTCCAACTTCTTGAGACTTGCAACGGCCTCTTTATGGGCTTCTAAGCGCTCCATGACTTGTTGACCTAAGTAAACAACTCTTTCAATAATGTTAACGATGTCCATTATAGTTATTGTAAAGTTCGGAATTGAGATAGTGGAAAACCAATAACCTCTACTGAAGTACGTGGGATATAACTATAGAATATAGAAATGATATTCAAGTAATGACCGAGAACAACAATATCTACAATATTTTTATTGTTACACGGTTTTATAGAAGCGCATATAGAAAACATAAAAATGCTAAATAGAGAAAATTTTCTCTGGAATTCAATGATGATCGTCCGACTGGCAGCCAATTAGAGAAATTCCAATGAAGGTTGAGAGAAATTACGGTAATTTTCTTCAATGTTTCGAAATGAACAATTTTCACATAAGTCGGTAAAATAATTAGAAATTGCATTGTACTCGAATTAAAACAGATACACTTAATTGACTGATGACTAAAACCCGAATTTCACAGTTTGTTTAATTGATTTGAATATAGATTTCTTTAACGGCATAAAATTTTAGCAATTGGTAAATTCTTTATATACTATATTATTATAATATCTAAAATTTTGTTATAGGATCTCAAATTTTTTTTTTTTTTGGAAATTTCTTTCGATTTAAGATTTTGGCCAAAATTAATCTTCGAGTTGGTGATTCTGGCTGAAATTAGCGGGTCCGAAATGTGTGACAAGTTAGTGTCAATCACAACTATAATAGGAATGGGTGATGTTTACGCGATTTTTCCCATAACGCCATTAAAATTTCACTATCACGTGACAGTGAAATATTCATCACAACCGGCACACCCCACCGCGTTTCCACTTTTTATATTTATCTGAAGAAGTGAAAACTTATTCGTCACCCATTATTCGTCACTGTTTATTTTCACGTGTTAGTGCATAACACCGTAATGCGGCCAAATGTCACGTGATAGTGAAATTTTTGATGGGGAAGTTTTACACATTACTTATCACATGCAGCCATAAGTTCAAAAATACTAATTATCTGAAAGACTTAGAATTTTTTAGTGGCCTAACCTGTCACACATTTTGGGCATACCTGAAATTAAGATAATTACATCACATATTTGAGGAATATCATATGATTTTATAATGAATAAGAAGTTTAGTCCAAATATAGTATATAATAAATTAGCAAAAATAGCAAAAAATTATTTACTTAATTTATTTATTAACTTTTTAGAAATTTACACCAAATTGATAAAAAACTATATTATATATTTCTATTCTAATTTAATAATTATAGAAATATATTTAAAAGTTATAAATATATATTTATTGAAATCTATTTATTATAAATTTTTACTAAAGTCCTTATTATATATTTATGTTGTGCCTTAGATTGATTCTTGTCTCAGATCGAAGCTTACGCATCTCAGATTGAGATTGTCACTTGATACACCTAATTTGAATTATGCAATAAAGTCTGTTATAAGTAAATTTTTTTTCTCATTAATTAAACCACTTTTTGTAACATATTCAAACTTGTGTGCCATAATGAGTTATATGTTTCCTGAAATTTTTATGTAAATCTGATTTATATTGAAGTTTATATTTGTGTTTTATCTGAAAAATCATTAAATTTTAAGTCATTTTCAAATGAAAAGATTTTTATGAGTATGATTCCAACTATTCTGAAATTTTAGGATTGTATACTTAAAATTATGATGAATAAATTTACCTAGTACTTAAAAATACATTAAAGTTGGAAAATTTGATGTTTAATTATAGCTTATTTTATTAACAATCAAAGTGCGTCAGGTGACAATCTCAATCTGAAGTGCGTGAGCTTTAATCTGAGTAAGAATCAATCTGAGGCACAACATTTATATTTATTAAACAATCTTTTTATTTTATTATAATTATTTTATTTTTAAAAATTTTTATTAATTATTTTTTTATTAAAAAAAACTTTAATAATATAATAATAACAAATAATCTATATAAGTTAAAATAACTTCATGTGATCATCATGCTTATATCACCAGTTATGAAAAATTCACTGGAGATGAATTTTGTTTAACTGATGTGAAATAAAATCACTGTTAGAAGTTTAAAATATGGCTTATAATAAACTACAATAAACTTTTTTCTTACAACCTTTCTTTTTTTCTTTACATTTTTTCTTTTATCATTTCATAATAACTTTTATTTATTTCACAATGGATATTCAAGAACTTTCTTCACCTTTGATTTCTATTGAATTTTATAATAATACTAATGATGAATCTTTAAAGTTTAAACAATTTTTTTAATGAAAATATGAATACAAAAGACAATTTATCTGATGTTAGTGATGACTTTATAAGCGAAAAAATGATGGTAATTTATTACTTCAAAAGAAACAGACTTTTGAAACTTTTGAAGAAATAGAGAAATATTTAAAATAATATTGTGAGCAAAAAGGTTTTGAATATTATAAGAGAAGAGTTGAATATGATAATGATAATATTGTATACAAATGTATTTATAAATATACTAAAGCAACTTAATATCAACCAAAAAAAGATAAAGATCCTGAAAAACATTATTAATGAAGTTCTAGATCAATTGGTTGTTAGTGGCATTTAAATGTAATTTATCCTAAATTAATAGAAGTTATTAAAATCTTCACAATAGTTGATGAACACAATTATTCTTTAAATTCAAATATTAAGATTTATGGAATTTAATTTCATCAGTTTTCAGAAGAAATGAAATCTGATATATTAGAGTATCTTGCTGCAGTTCCAACTATAGATGCTTAAACTATATATAGATTATTAACTAAAAAATATCTAAATATTTATATTCATTGTAAAAACTTATACAATACAATACAAAAAGTTAGAAAATATAAGCAAATAGAAAAAAAAAGATGATGCAAAAAATATGTTGCAAGATTTGTATAACCTTCAAAAAAAAAATTCAAATTGGATAATTGAAATATGTATAATTAGAAATAATTTTCATTTAAAAAGTTAGTGTTCTATGGATGTCATCATAACAAGTTCAACTTTAGATAAAATTTCATGATGTAATTATTACAGATGATATTTATAAAACAAATTGATATGATATGGCATTATCATTATTTATAATAATTGACAACTATAATTGAATTTGTATTGTAGTACAAGCTTTGATAGAAGATAAAACTGACTCAACTTTTCAATGAATTCTTGATTGTATATTATGTACAACTAATTTTCATTTCCAAGAGTTATTTTTATAGATGAAGATTTAGCAATGGCTGCAACCATCAAAGCAAAATTGCCTAATACTCACTATTACCGTATACAGTCGCCACTGGCTATAACGAACCTTCCGTTCTAAGAGATTTGGTTCGGTATATAATGAATTCGATATGTAATATTTGTGTTATATACCGAACTGTTCGGTATATAAATTTTATCCAATAAAATTATAGATCATGATATTTTATAATTATTTTAATTTTATAACGTACTACAGTAATACAATTTTATTTAATTTTATACGACAATATTAACTTTAACGTTTATTCAAATAACATTATCGTATCGAAAGTAATGAAGATCAACCTGTTTTAAATTTTTTACAATCAATACCTTCACTTTTTTATGCAATCTCCTTAAAATTTTCAACTCTTCATTTACTTCCCCGAATTCTGGTCCTTGTTCATATAAAAATCTTATGGTTTTATCTATAGCCTTTTCTACCTCTGTTGGACTTATTTTCTCCATTATATGCGTTAATTCAATCTCATCCACCACATTTTCCTCTTCCCTATTTGCATTTCGAATAGTATCAACTATTTCATGATCAGTAAGCCCACCCTCTGGTATCTCGTCCTCAATATGAAGATATTCATATGCATTAAGATCACTTTTTGGAAACTGAGAAATCAACACCTCAAGTTCATTGATTTCTATATCAAAACTAAAAAAAGAATTGATTTTAAGAGTTAATTAAAAATATTTAAAATTCAAATAGTATATTAAAAAAATTTATACCTATCAGAAAGTACCGAATCATTATCATCAGATAATTCTTCAAATTCATCACTTTGTGGGAGGATACCTGTTTTCTTCCAACAGTTTGAGATAGTTTGAGAAGTTACCATTGACCATGCTTCAGCCGCATTCTGGAGAGCATCATAAATAGTATAATCTGCAAGTTCTTCCACAATACCATCCTGCACATCATCATATGCATTAATCTGATTTTGAAGAAAGAGACGTTTGTAATGGCACTTGAATGAATGAATTATTCCTGCATCACAAGGTTGAAGTTTAGTAGTAGTGTTTGGTGGAAGGAATTTTACATCTATACTATCTAACTTTTCTTGAGTTTCATCTAAAATAATATGTACTGGAGCGTTATCAACTAAAAAAACAATTTTTCGATTTTTTCTTCTCATTATTTCATTGAGTTTAAAGAGAATATCATTGAAAATGCTAACTTGCATCCATGCTTTTTTATTCCAAAAATAATGAACTGGAAGATTTTTATGATTAATATTTTTCATGACACGAGGTGTTTTGTATTTATGAATAAAAGTTAATGTCATTTTTTCACTACCAGTTGCATTTGTTGCACAAAATATTGTAACTCGGGATTTTTCTTTTTTATGGCCTGATAAAGAATTGCGTACCAAAACTCTAGAAGGTTCCATCTTCCAGAATAGGCCAGTTTCATCGCCATTCCAAATGTCTTCAGGATTATAAGTTGTAAGGAACTGCTGAAGAGCAAGACGATCTCTTTCTATTGATTCAGCAGAAGGTGCACTTTCAGCCTCACCCTGCTTTTTAAACTGACACAAACTATGCCGTTTTTTAAAGCCACCTAACCAACCCTCTGAATGATGAAAATCTTCTATAGAAAACTGTTCAGCAAAATAACTTGCCTTCATTTTTAAGATATTGCCATCAATATCTTGTTTAGTATTAAGTGCATTATCAACCCAAAGGCCAAGCGCGTCTTCAAGTTGAGGCCACTTTGGTCCACGAAATTTTTTAACATTCTCTTGACTTTCTGTAATTGTAAGCCAACGTTCACTCTCTTTCAAAATGTCAGTAATTGTTGACTTTCCAACGTTATATTTTTGCGCAAGTTCAACATTTTGAATGCTCGGATCTCTTTCCTTCATTTCACAAATCTCGCACTTTTGACCAGCGGAAAGGTTAACTCTCTTTCTTTTTGTTGACATTATCAGTATTTTTGAAAATTTATCCGAAACTAAACGGAAAAATTTTTTTTCGGTAAAACTGTACAACGCGACTAACGATAACGCGTTCATACTTTTATATTATTAATTAAAGTCACGTGACAGTTCGTTATACTAAATATGTAATTGATATACT